AGCAAGCATCAGTAGGGATCCTTTCTATGACATGTTGGCAACAAGGAAAAGGAGGATTGCCAATAAGAAATAAGAGCTTCCCTGGCCCAGCAGGTAAACTAAAGACCCAAACCCCACAGCAGATGTGACTGGCGGCTGCCCCAACATGACACCTGAGGTGCACCTCCTGGGGCAGCAGTGTTCCCAGAACCAGGTGTGGCCCCAGATGCACACCCTGAAGCCTGTGCTGCGTGTGACCTGAATCATGGTCAACTGTGTTTCCTCCTGCTGCCATCTGGCCCAGAGCCTTGGCTGCTGTGGCACTGCAGCAGTGGAAGGAGGTTCCCTGTGGGCATCTGCTGATCTCGCCGCATAAAACAGGACCACTCAGACAGTGGCACTGACCATTCTAGAAGTCATGGAAAAGCTACCACTTTTTTAATTCAGAATTTTCTCAGATATATAGGATTATAGCTTTTATATGCCTTTTTATATTCTGAAATTATAATGAAAGATACTTTCTAACAGTAGTATTTTTAGAATGGCAGCTATAAATATAACTCCTGGACACAGGTACATACTGTGCACTGAAGAAAAAGTATATGCAGCACCCAGAGAGAGGGCTGTGGGGTACTTGCACATGGGTGGGAGCTGCAGGAGGATGCGCCAGTATCCTCAAGGACCAGTAATCAGGGGGCTGCAGCTGTGATAAGCCCTGAAACCTCCTTTCACATTTTTTGGCCCTACCTATACTTTCTAAAACTAGTCATTAAGATAAGTTATGGTTTGGGGCTGTTTGCCCTAGAATGGCTGAATGCTATGAAAAGGAGCTCTTGGCAGATCACCCATAGGTTGAATCATAGGAAACTACTTGTCTCTGATCGTTTCCGACCCATATGAACGGCAGTTCTGCCTGGTTCCATGGAACACATAGGTCAGATCAGCTTCTGATCACATCTGTTACTACTTCAAACCTTCAGGAAAATTCTTATCTCCCTGGCATGATCAGATGTCTTCATGATTAACTAGACATATAAGTAGCTGGGAGTAGTCCATCGTCTCCCTTTTACAGTACCATGATCTCAGACCTGAGCTTCCCTGGTGAGGAGGAGAACAAGCCCTGACTGAAGGTGTGTGGCACTTAGGGCTTTCTGTGAACAGCGAAGAGCCTCAGATCTAAACTAGGATGGGCTCACCTTGACATACAACAGAGGCACTGATGGCCCCACCATTGTGACTGTCAGAACTGGGCAAGGATGAGGGCATTGGGCGACACAGCCTCTTTCCTAGGGCCCTTTGGGATGCCCATGCATTAATACATGGCCCTCTTTAGCTCCATACATGGGCTGTTTAGTTGGCGATTCCTGCCCAGACTTGCTCCTACACCCTATCTGTGCTGGCACATCCCAAGTTTGCACCCTTTGGAGGTTCTTTCTATTCCTCTGCAAAAGCAAGCCCAGGAATGTAAACCTCAGACTGAATGCTTTTATGCAGAAATAAGTCTTCCCATGAGCTGCCTTGAGGCAGAGACTGTGCAGCCCTGGGCTCTTTCTTTCTGGGTGGCTGACCTTAGTGTGTAGCTTTATGTCACACCAGATTGCAGAGGGTCCACGGCTGAAACTCCATCATGCATTAGACTGATTTTTTTTGTTTGTTTATTCCCAAGTTTCTGTGCTGTTACTCTACTGATACCTCAGACCTGAAACTTTTAGTGTTTGAGTAAGGCAAGTCAGCCACCTTGACGTGCCTGACTGGTGCATATGCAACTTGGCTCTCATCTGTCATGTGCAAGTGCTGCCCAGACCTGGACCAACCACAATGCCTCTATGCTGCAGCCCACCTTTGGGCCAGCCCTGTCAGGGACTGCAGCAGGGTTGGGTCAGTACTTCACATGGGAATGAGTAGCTTCTTCTCTTCTGATCATCTAACCCAGGTATGGCCCTGGGGATGTGGAGCTGTTTTAGTGTGTTGACAGAAGTCAACATGGATCACCTGGTAGTGAATCTTTCATCACCATGGTCAACTATGAGCCAGCTCTGCCCAAAGACCATTCACCCAGGAGCATGCAGAAGGCCCTGGTGCTCAGAATCTTAAGTGACTTGCCCTATCAAGAGTGTTACATTGAGTCACCCAACCCCAGGTTTTCTTGTGACAGTATTAACCCTAAGGGTGTCTGCCATCCTGCTGTGTACCTGGCCTCCACCAAGGTCTGCAGACTCAGACCCCTCCCACTACAGGATAGTGGGGCTCAGTCATGCTCATCACCTGCCCCACTGAAGGGCTGCACTCAGTCTTGAGTTGTCAGTCCCAGCTCTGGCCAAAGACAAAGTTTCCTATGGAGACACAGGACGGCCCACAGTTCTGAGGACCCTAGGCGGGAGATGGCAGTTCCACAGCCCCTAGCTGTCTTGCTGGGCCCTGGTTATTTTTTGAGGTTTATTTAGAGTGACCCTGAACCCACATAAGCCTCCACATCCCTGGGGTCCTGACACACTTTCTAGTAGTTTAACATGGACTTCACCAATGGACTCAGAGTAAGAGCTGTTTTTAGGTGAAGCAGCATTTAATGCTTCATATAATGCAGTGCCTATTTTCAAGGTTATAAATGCAGATATCTACACTGATATGCTTTGCTGAGAAGTCTATTATAGACCAGAAACTACAAGTCATGATTTCTCATTTTTTTCCTCTGAAAACATTTCTATTACTTAAATATAGTTAATATGTAAATAATGTACATATATTGATTTCTGGAGTATTTTGTTTTTCAATGTATATACCCTCTACCACTTGCATGAATATTCTGTTGATATCAGAATATCTATTGATATTTTGTTGCAAAGTGAACAGTATAACTGAAGGGTTTTTGGCTGTTAAAATTGCAAATATTGTCTTCACTAAATAAAAATCTCATGTATTGTTAAAAGAAAGTTGTCTAAGACTTGCTTATTTAGCGTGTTCTCTTGCTTGCTTGCTCTCTCCTCTCTCCTTGCTTTCCTCTTTCCTCTTTCCCTCCTTCCTCCTCTCTCCTCTCTCCTCTCTCCTTTCTCTCCTTTCCACTCTCACCTGTCTGTCTGTGTCTGTCTCTCTCTCTGTCTCTCTCCTCTGTCTCCTCTCCTCTCTCTTTTTCTGTCTCTCTGTCTTGTCTCTCTCTCTCTCTCTCTCTGTCTCTCCCCTCTCCCCTCCCATCCTCCCTCCCCTCTTCCTCCC